AAGACAAAGACGAAGCCAGAGCCAAGCCGAAAGACAAAGACGAAGCCAGAGCCAAGCCAAAAGACAAAGACGAAGCCAGAGCCAAGCCGAAAGACAAAGACGAAGCCAGAGCCAAGCCTAAAGACAAAGCCAGAGCCAAGAAAGACAAAGACGAAGCCAGAGCCAAGTAAAGACAAGACGAAGCCAGAAGTAAAGACAAAGACGAAGCAGAGCCAAGTCAAAAGACAAAGACGAAGCCAGAGCCAAGCCTAAAGACAAAGACGAAGCCAGAGCCAAGCCTAAAAGACAAAGACGAAGCCAGAGCCAAGTCAAAAGACTAAGACGAAGCCAGAGCAAGCCTAAATAAAGACGAAGCCAGAGCCAAGCCGAAACAAAGCCAAAAGACAAAGACGAAGCCAGAGACAAAGATAAGGGAAGAGTCTAAGTCAAGCCAAGTCAAACCTATCCAAGATAAGGCGAGTTGAACCAGAATAAGCCAGAGTCAAAGCCAAGCCGAAGCCAAAGCCAAGCCAAGCCAAACGAAGCCCAAGCCAAAGCCGGGGCTGTGGATTATTCTGGCTTGGTATCAGAGTCTTTTCGTTAACGTTTCCTTGTCAGAGAATGGGGAGATGAGGAAAAGGGAAGGAGAAAGAGAAGACTAAGGAGAGAAGGAGAGGGAGAAGGAGGAGGAGAGTGAGAGGAAATGGGAGAGCGAAAGGGAGAGGGAGGAGGAAAAGGAGAAAGGGGAAACTGATGAGAGAGGAAGAGAGAAGGCGAAGGAGAGTGAGAGGGAGAAGTAGAGTAAGAAGAAAAGGGAGAGGGAGAGGAAAAGGAAGAAATAGGGGGAAGGGGAAATAAAGAGAAAGAGACAGATAGAGAATGAACGAACGAAAGAAAGAATACAGCAGTATATCAATTTATCAATTTTTTGCACGTCCGTTAGTCCTCTTCTGCATAAATATATCTGAGGTTAACCGAGAACAATTCATCAGAGCATTGTAGGCCTACAGCTCGACACGGGGGGTAACTCTTGCAATTTTTAAATGACACTCGTAATTCTGCCTTCTCTTGATTGGTCAATTTCACATCATCCGTAATTTAATCTTCTACCCCTCCTTTTCTTTTCCTTCTCCTCATATTATTATCATCATCATCTCATCCACATTGTCTTTTCATCTTCATTATCCTCTCCTCCTCATCATCATCATCTTTTCCTCTCTCCTTCTTCTTCTCTCCTCCCCTCCTGCTCCTCCTCCTCCTCCTCCTCCTTCTCCTCTTTCTTGTCTTTCCTAGCTCCTCCTCTCTCTCCTGGTCCCTTCTCCTTCTCTCTCTCCTCTCCTTCTCCTCCTCTCTCCTCCTCCTCCTCCTCCTCCCCCACCCTGTCTCTCTGGGAACAGAACCCCCCCCCCCCGTTCATCTTCCTCTTCTCATCACCACACTTGACAGTGACACTTTTCCATCACCTACTTCGTGGTCATGACATGCGGAGGGAGAGAGACCACGCTTTCATGACTTAGGAGAGGAGAGGGAGAGGAAGGAGGGAAGGAGGGAGGGAGGGATTGAGGGATTGAGGGGAGGGGGATGGGAGGGATTGAGGGAGGGAAGGGGGGAGGGGGAGGGGGGGGGGAGGGGGAAGGGAAGGAGGAAAGGAGGAGGGAGGGAGGGAAAGAGTAGGCGAGAAGAGAGAGAGAAAAAAAAGAAAACAGACTCGCACGCACACACACACACTCACACTCACACTCACACTGAAAGACAAACAGAAACCGACAGAGAAGGGAATCCCCCCCCCCCCTTCACGAGAACCTTAATCGAACCTGCGTGTCATCCTCATTCCGAACCTTCCCTGTCTGTCGTCGCCAAAGAGAGACGTCGTAGAACCGTCTGTGGGTGAAAAAAGGAAGACATTTGGAAAGCACCTTCTGCTCCCTAGGCTCGTAGTCCTCGGGGTTGGGTTTGTGTGGTTAGTAATGCTTGGTTTACTATTGTTATTATTTTTTATTGATATAGTTATTATGGTTATGATTATGATTGTTATGGAGTGTAACGGGGAGGATATTGTTTTAGGCTCGTAGTCCCCGGGGTTGGGTTTGCGTGGTTATTAATGTTTGGTTTATTTCTACTATTATTATTATTATTATTATTATTTTATAGGATAGGGTTTTAGGCTCGTAGTCCCCGGGATTGGGTTTACGTGGTTATTAATGATTTGTTTGGTTTATTGTTATGATTTTTTATTGATTTAGTTATTATAGTTATGATTATGGTTGTGATTACGATTTTTATGGAATGTAATGGGAAGGATATTGTTTTAGGCTCGTGGTCCCCGGAGTTGTGTTTGCGTGGTTGTTAATGTTTGGTTTATTATTATGCTTTTTTTTTAGTGATATAGTTATTATGGTTATGATTATGATTGTTATGGAGCGTAACGAGTTGGAAATTGTTTTAGGCTCGTAGTCCCCGGGGTTGGGTTGACGTGGTTTCATTTATTATTTATTATTATTATTGTATTGTTGTTGTTGTT